TCAGAGCGTTCCTTCGCAATTTCATTCTAAGTTGAAAAAACTATTAATGTAACACAACTCATATATGCTACTTTGTTTACATCGATTTTGTTCCTATTAGATAACTAGAAAAAAGCTTGTTGAACTTGAATAAAATCGGCAAGAGTCGTTGTCAAGAGTAAAGTGACCTTTGTAACATTGTGCTAACAAAATTTAAGATTGTGTTGAATTGTAGATTAGACTAACATAACTCATATATGGGACTTTGTTTCTATCGAATAATTAAAACACAGTTTTTTGAACTTAGAATGAAGTCGGAAAGAGCTACTCTTAAGAATACAGTGCCCTTTATATCGTTGTTTCGGCAAAATTATCAGCTGTTTTGAGTTGTACTAGGCTAATACTAGAAGACTGCTTCCGTTGCCTTCTCGAAGTTAGTCGCATGATTTAAGATAAAAAATTATTTCGCCGTTATTCTCGAGTAATCAAAGTTGATATTGGTTTCTTCTCATTTTCGCATTCATCGTCTAAATATCTGTTGCTATTTTAAATAAATGCTTCGGCAGATTTAATTATGGAAGAGTTACGGGACAATAACTCTCCGTCCCTTTCACTCTCGAATTATTAAGCAATTACGCGATATTCTGTAACACACTCAGCAGATCGCAGAAATATCGTTGAATTCTGGTGTTCTCATTAGCGCAGTGGTAACCTTTTCGCTTTATCAGCGTATGATTTACCGGTGCTCATGTATGCGCACGACTGTGCATGATGTGTAAGTGTACATGTGCGCGTATATGTACGCACTGCATCACCTCGATGTCGCGTCGCGATGCTTGCACAGCGCGTTGCAGCGGCACGCTAGACAATGTTGCGGTATTCGACAACGCATGCGTGTCCGTTTCTGCTCCCGTATATTATGTGCGGATTGACACGTATACTCTCGAGGAAGCGGATGAAAGAACGAAAAAGGATCACGTTGTGCATCCTCGGTTATACAGTATTTGTGTAAGTCGGAAGTGTAATAGAAAATGTATTGAAGAGACAACGAATTTCAAAAATGTCGACAATGTAGAGGCAGTCGTCACTAACAACATCACACTATCCTTTTCTTGCACTCCTTATGCAGATCTTATATAAATGTGTGCTGCTTTGTTTTTCCATTTAGCGAGAAACATAACCACGCATATACAGACATTTTTCTGCAAACTTTTTGCATATTTGTGTGTTTCTAAATTCAGTTGTCAAGGTACAGCATATTCTTTCACATTTTTTTGAGTGGGGCACACTTAAATTCAGTATGTTTAAGCTGAAAAATTTTGGTATCAGACAAACATTGATTGTTTGAAATGTCAGTTTTGAAATTTTTGATCGTTTTCTTCACATATTGAGCAATACTCCAATTAATGGAATATTGCATAAAAGCATTTGCATTTTTATAATTTTGCGCAATCAATACGACGTAAATTTTACAGAGAAAAGTTAATATTTTGTCGATAAGATTTTCAAGTGTAGCATATTTCGGCTACGAGATGATTCATGTAGAAGGAGAAATGCACGAAGCGTGTTTACCAGAGCGCAATTGTCCAAGGGCGACATGGGTCTTTCAGCCAATCCTGAAGATGCGCGACGCGTGGCTCCCGCAAAACGCAGGCACCCGCTGCATAGTTGCACCGCGATGCGGTGGAGATCGTGTGTGACAAGCTAACCGCGCGCGCGCGCGCACGCGGGTGACCGTATGTGCTGTGGGCAGGACAATGTTTTCATTAACTGAATACATGGTGCAGCGGGTCGACGGCCCGTTCAACATCGTTATACCGACAAATAAAGGACGCGGAAGGAGCTTTTCGAAATTTCCGAGCGAAATCCACGCGGGAAAATCCGGTGCAGCGTGTTCGCGTATAATTGAATTGTTCTCCTTGCCTTTCTCGCGGGATCGCGCGTGTGTGTCGAGAATTTTCGCTTGATTACCTAGCTGGTAAGAAGATTTTGAAGAGAACACTCTTCGAGCGCGCATGTCTGCGTGTATGTGCGCGCAAGAGACTTACATCTTCTACGTTGACGTAATACAATTCAATATTTGTATGCTAGACCGATGTGAAAATCAACTAGTGTCTAACTCAATTTATGCTCGAGACGAGAGAATCGACAGTATCTATTGTTGCGCGTATGAAAAATGCATATTGCATTCAAATGAATGTTGGTTGTTTCAAGCATTTCACAAGTTTATATATCATTAAATCTCATCATAAAAATCAAACTTATTAAAAATCATATTAAATTTATTTAAAATTCTGAATCCTATTAAACATTTCAGTTAAGAATATTAATTTTCTGGGTGACAATGTATTCTCACTATCTTCAGAGTGACAACTCCGGGACATTTGTATGTTTTCTGATTTTTGTCCCTTTGAGATGTTCGAATAAATTCTCAAAAATTATTGAAACTTCTTTTACTCTTTTAGTTGCAGACTACACAGCTTTTTTGAAAAATAAATTGCCAAATACTTTATATTTAATGAGTTTGAAGAAAAATGCTCCGAGAAACGAGCACGTTTTAAAATGATCCGAATACAAATGATTCTAGTTGTCACTCAAGGGTTAAATTAAAACAAGAATTCCTACATAAAGTCGAATAAAGTTTTTTTTTTGACAGTTTTCAAATATTTTTGTAAGTAGAATAACATATTTTTTGAATACATAATATTAAATATTTTCAAATTTATGATAAATATATTTTCAGATTAGCAAAATATTTTTTAAAAATAATCAATACTTAAAAGGAAGAAAATAAACTAAGTACTCGCTTTTCTTAGTAATGGGATAATATTTTTCTATATAATTTGGAATCCTCGGGTGAACTCACGATTATCGATTTCATCGCCGGTAATAATCGACGACTATGCAAAAGATTAAACCACGAAAATAGAAGCATATATTTTTCATTGTATATTCCTGGTCACGATGCTCCGTGTGCGTCAGCTTCATCCACATCATCGTCCCGCGTTTTTAACCTTCGACGCAGTGTCATGCACGGTGCTTATCGTTTATCGTCTCGACACACATGTAACCAAATACTTGCGCGTGCACAAACCAGTCTGATATGCGAAATCCTCGCGATCACGTTTCTGCTTTTTAATAAACCGCGCCCGAGCACGCGCTGGCTCGGCAAACTAAGACGCGAACGTGCTGCTGCGACGACGCGCCGCGTTATCAAGCGGTTCGCGCCTCGGCGTTCCGCAGCATGCGAAAAGTAATTATGTTTTCTCGGTGTAAAAATAAAATATTGCGCGCGCCATTGTCGAGGCGTGTTCCTTTAACGCGACGAATAATCGCGCGTGTGCAAATTACTGAAACAACTAAAACTTGCAATTATTCCCAGGAGGGACAAATATGCGTATTAGTTCAGAGAGAGAAGGGCAATTTCGGAATCTATTTTATACGCGAAACGCGCACGATATTATTCGGGACAGGATGGGTTTGATTTTATTTTGAGATTTATCGCGAATTATTATTTGAAGAGTGAGAAGTAGAAAATGACTTCATCTATCATCATTCAACACGTATGATTGCTTTGATTGAAGTTTCATTCGATTTACCTTACTCGTACGCCGGACATTTCGGGAGAAATGCGCGCGCGTTACACAGGAGAGCCGTATAAAGTGGCCTTAAGATCTCTGCGACGAATTTACACCACCGACGGCCAGCCCCGACTCGAGGACCGCAAATTTCCGGCTGCGAATAAAAACGCGGGAAAAGTGGAGCATGCAAATATATTCAGGCGAACGCGCGCAATCCCTAAAAGTTTTGCGCATCGGACCGTCGCGGGGTGGTTGGTGGCGGCGGCGAGGGTAGAAGGGGCAGGCAGGTTGCTGGAGGATGGAAAAACGACGGACATGTATATGCACGGGTAAATTAAATATACATGCTGTGCAAATAAGACCGTCTAGCGACTCGTTTTATCGTCTTCCCTCGCTTCAGTCGGCTTCTCTCTCTGGTCTGGTCAACGTCGCGACGCCGTAGAGCACTGCAGGTGTTACATGCGAAAATTGCGCCTGATGTTACTACAACCGTGTCATTTTATTAACATAACAAAATTCCAAGTATAATCGATCATTGAGTATCGCGTTTTTTGTCGAAAAAATTTTTTTTTACTAAAAATTGTCCTATACCAGAAATTATTCCGTGTATCTCTGGCTTAAATTTCATGCAGTTTTTCAACAGTTATACTGGACAGTTAACTTTTGTCCAGTAGCTGAAATATAAATGAAGTTAAATGAAGTGTCAAAAATGATGATTTTGGCCAACTTTATGTATTTATTTTAGAGATACTAAATTTTTTAAAAATATTTCTGTTAATATCATCGCATAGTATTAGTCTTCCCCGTTAAAATCCATTTTTAATTGTTCTCATACGCTATTTTGTTCCCGAAACATACTACTTTAAAGACATTAAAATATTACAAATACGTGTGGAAGGTAAACACATCATAATTTTTTGGATATATTGGATATTGGAATTTTTGAGTTTTAAGTTTAGAATTATTGGACATTGAGTGCTTTAAGTCTGTATGATGTATGTATGCGGTCTATTAACTCCATCGGTTTGGAATTTTTCAAGATAGATATTGCGGGAGAGACGATAAAGCTCCAAGCGGCTCGTGTCACCTTATTCCCGATAGTTTCACGACGCGATAATGACTCCGCTGAATTTCGGTCGGCGCAAGTCTGAATGCGTCCAGATCGTAATTTGTAGTAGCCATTAGGGGGATCGACCCCTTGTAACGCGCTAGAGGCAGGATCCTAGCCGAGGAACGTCGCAAATGGGGTGCACGTTGATTGGATGAAAGTATACTCGGGCCAATCGAGCTCTGTCTCGGGTTGTGCATCTAGATTCTATCTGTGAACCGCGAATGTGCCCGCTTCCCCAGAGTCGTCGATGTCAATCGCTCATTATGGGATCGTGTAACCGCGTACGAAAAGGGAATACGCGCACAATAGCTTTTATTTAGTATAGTTACCCGAAAGCCTAAATTCTCAGAGAGCGAGGTAGCGTAATAGCATCGCGATAGAACGTGCGTGTCTCTGCAAGCTGAGAGGCGATTTTTCTTTTCCCATACCTGGAAAGAAAAAAAGAAATTACTTTCAGTGGTGCGAATATAGAATATTTTTTATTATAAATCTTATCAATTAATTCTTGTGCACACAAATCACTTCTGCTTGATTGATAAGTAATTTCAACAATCGTTTTGGTTTTCGTAAGTCAAAGTGCTACACGTTAAAATGCTAAAATAACACAAATTTGTAATAATTTCGGGGTGAATTTCGGGTACAGTGATAAAAATTAAATTATTTATATTTTCGCGATATAAAGGAAACCGATGTGATAGTAATTAATCCGAAAAATATCGCGCCAATATTGATCAGCGTGAAAACGAGCGGTTTGCGCGTATTTCGCGCGGAACAAATTTCTTTATAGATTTATATCGTATTATATTTCCTGAATTTTCGTGCTTTTTTCCGGAATTGCTATCATAACTGCTCTCGGTAATGTCTGCGGTGATCGTGTTTGCATCATGGTTACCAAAGGCTATTGGAGCACATGGTCATTTGTGACATATGATGACGAAGGACGCTAACATTGCTATATCGAGCAATTGCTGTGTATATCCTCAATGATTAAGGGTAATCATTGATGTGATAATTGACGTGTATCTATGATCAATGAGTATGTACCTGTCATCGAAAATTAGCCAAACAGCGATATTCACGCTATAATGTCCTAATCGGAATTACATGCAAGCGCATAACAAAAGTACAGAGCTAATAAGATTTTCTAGGAAGTCGTTGCATGGTTACGAGAGAAATAATAAACGTAACAAAAAAAAAATACTTTTGTAATGTTGCGAATTATTTATCGAAAAGAAAGATCTCGTGTATTCTTAAGTCGCGACTTAATCATTCGCGGTATACTTTTAAAACATGACACAATATAAATATTATTTTCTGCTTTCTCGCGTGATTATCTCTTTTCTCTCCATTTCTCACCCTCTTGCACTCCCTCTTTCGCTCTCACCCTTTCTCCCTTTCTCTTTATGGTATATATTTTTTATATATGCACGCCGGATTTCATGTGCAACGAGATTATTTCACGAGCGCCGAGCTCCTGTGCGAAAGATAAATTGTGTCCTGATTCTAAAACAGGCGGGATAAAAATTTCGCACAGACGAAGGTAAAATTACTACTTGCTGCGGCGAGACGTGGTGATCCGCGGATTTATCGTGGTCAAATCCAAATTCAAAATCTGCTACAAGTCTTGGAAGTGCTAATCTCGTCTTTCAATGTTTCGTTTACTACTCGATACATTAATGTAACGGCGCCAAATTAGTAGAAGTTCTTATCTTGCTTTGTCTGTTTCTCATATCTAAAGGAAGGGAGGGGGGTTATGTTACCCACAAATATAAATAAATATATAATTTCGTAGTATTTATATAATTAATAGTATTTTGTTATAAGCTTCGGTACTTTAATACTCTTGCATCTCTTAACCATTTTTTCGTTGTCGATTTTTTTTCCGTTTAGTTTAACACAAATGTCGACTTCATAATTTTAGCGCGAGTCGTAACAATATATTAACTTAGATAAATATAGTATTATAGTTTGCCGTGCAATGTGTGTGTGTGTGTGTGCGGGGAAAAAATAATCCAAGTTCTTGTCATTAAGCACAATTGTGTTACACCGATATCCCTCCTTGCTCTACCGAATGTTCCGCCCGTTAAGGGGTTAAACATCATCAGACAGCGGCTTCAGTCGATCTATCGAGAGAGATTGGAAACGCTCGGATTGAAGGTCTCAATCATCGATAACCGGCCGATGAACCTGGTGTGAGCGTCTCGTGTCGTTTCACATGTGCTGCTCGGGAACCACCCCGAGCGCGGGAGGGCGGAATTCAATGCCGGAGATAATGAAGAATTTCACGTTTTTGCGTAATTGCCGCCAATCAGAGACACGGCCTGCCCGTCGCAGCACTTCACCGCGCCCCACCCGGGGGGGATATCGTTCCGAACCGACGTGATGGTCTTTGCGTCTTGGCAGCTCCATTATCTGCCCCATCAATCGGAAATTCTTTTCTCTTTACATCATCGCGAGGGGTAGGGAACGAGGGGGAGAGAGACCGTAGGGGTTTGAGAGGGAAATGGTTTCATTAAAACAATCCCGTTGGCTCACGTCGCTCGATCGAAACCTCGTGTACAGAATAATGAGCGTGTGTCATTGACGTGCGCAGCTACAGCGTTCTTCAGGAGTGGTTATTCTCGGCGGGAAGTGAGGAAGCGAGGAAGAGAGAAGTAGTTGTCGATATTGAGAACTTGCGCTATTTTCTCCTGAGATTATCCTTAATTTAATTAAAATGTCGGAGAGTTTTATAGCCAAAAAATTGTTATAGAATTTACTATAAAAATTGTTATAGAATTTTATAGCCAAAAGTTTACTACATAAACCAGAGGAATAGATCGACATTCTATAGTAATTGACTGTCCTTTCGTTTCATTCGTATTATTTATATTTTAAGAACCGAAATGTAGTTTTAAAAAATTCTATATACATTTTTAACGAAAAATAATATTGTTATGAAATTTATTATGTTCTCCTTAGCAAGGTAGGCCTTATTGACAATCCATTCCTGCACTACACTGAGAGAAAAAATTTATGGAAAAGAAAATATTTATTCGTTGGTCACTAATAATAATATATTAACTTAAATCTGAATTCCTTTTTTTTAATAGAATGAACAATTGTGTTTTTGAAAAAAGCAATGGTAGTTTTAATAAAATATATAATTTCTTATTTGAGAGATTTTCTCTCATCTAAAAATATCTATATTAATACAAATAAATATATTATTAGTATCCATCGAATAAATACTTCATAATTTTTTAGACATCTTTTCTCTCAGTGTACTAAAAATATATAGTAAATTAAAAAGAATTTATACAAAGAAGGAAAACTATAATATTCTTTCTGTGAATTAACTTGAAAATTTGTCCCCATAAATTTTCGAAGATATATTCTCACTCTCTCTATCTTTCTCTCTCTCTCTCTCATTTTCATTTATATAATTAAAGTTTAACAAAGTTTAATAAAAATTTCCGACAATTTTTGGTGTGTATAGGATATAAGAAAATTAAATACCAGTGTTGTTTTTAATGCAACAAAACTAATAATTCAGATAGAAATTCTATAAGACGTCACAAATTTTTTTATACTCCTTTGCAAGAATTTTTGATATCTTCGTACATGTTACGTCACTCGAATCCAATAAATACCAAGTATCAGTAACATAACATCGACATTGCATGTTGCAATGCCAGGTCATTAATGATATAGTATGTTATATAACTGTTCCATAACACACATAATATGTAACAGTTGCATGACATACTATATGATTAGGCTAATATTGTGACATCGATATGTTATGTTAGTGATACTTGGTGGGAAGAATATGAGTCGCTGTTTCGTTCACCACCTCTGAACCACCCTATATTCCACTCGTGCACTCAACGGCCGGTCTACACCGCGTTACGGCGCGCGTGTGCGCGTGGCGTCGCGGCGATGTGGCGGCGGCGGTGGAGGCGGTGGTGGTGGCGTACGGCTGAAATGCGTGTATCTGAACAATTAGGTTTCAGGCCACCCCAGTCCGACATGGCAGTCGCGCGACCACTGAAGCCCCCCCGTCCCCGCGATAATATGTACGTACTAGAAACTCTCGTGTTTTCTGTTAACGTATCGCGAAAACATGAAGAATAACGTTTCCCATTGCCGTGCCGTGACAACGTCGCCTGCCGCCTCTACCTACCCACCTACCTACGTACCTACCTACCTACCTACCTAATCGCGAAAAGATATTTCCACCTGGCGCACCAGAGTAAAGGAGAGGAGGGGAGGGACCTCCGACGCAAAAAGCGCGGCCGCTCACGAGAGGAATGTCAACTCACGCTCGTGCGGCGATAAACGTTGCGGGGAGGTTTCCGAGGTATTCGCCGCGAACGATTAATTCGCGCGATTAAAGATAGTTGAGTGGAATTCCTCAGATAGCGGCGCGTCGCCCCCGGTGAGAGGGAGAGAGACAACCTCCTCAGTCGCGACGCGTGTGTAGACAGCGTCGCGAATGTCGCGCGATGAAATTGACTTGTTACGAGTCGCGTCGAACGATTCGGTGAGACACCAGTCGTTGTCGTCGTTTTCATCGCTGGTGACTGGATGAATAAATGCCCGGGAGGCAAATGGAAACACCGACGAAGGCGCGGAGGTGGTGATATTATTCCGATGAGAGGCTGTTGATCTCGTGTTGCGGTTCTTCGCGCGCACGACTTACAAGAAAAGTCCATATCGTAGCATGGATAAACTCTCATTTTCGCAATGAGATTACCGAGGTTCTCTCATCTAAGACCCCTTTTCTAGACGATCTTTTTTTTCTAAATTAAGAGAAATGTTATCTCCTGAAAATGGTCCTTTAATTCCGCGTCACATATAAACACTCTGACAAATGCACACTGGCTAATTTTTTTATAAGACTTGCACACGACAAATCACACTAAAACATATTAAGAAGATTATAAAGCGAAATGTTAAGAATCCATTGAAACTTACATTGTATATAAATTCAAATATTTTCTGACTACTCGTGCGATTAAAGAAAGACTAACCATTCGAGAATTCAGATATTTAAAACAAAAGTGGACACTCTTTATACTATTTCTTGGAGTTGGTGTGCTATTTTTAGTAAACTAAAATTAAAGTTTTAATGAACAACTATTACGATATTAAAGACTATACTGACATTATAATTATATTATAATACTTCTAATTTTAGAATTATTGACAGTTATTTTTTGGAAAATACAACGGTGGAAAGTTTATAATTCTCATATAATAATATTTTTTTTAAATACATGTACAAATATTTAAACACTTATGTACCTCTTTTTATTATCTGTGCATCTTTATTAGATTAACTTATACACAAATGAAACATTAATAAAAAAAAAAAATCGTATTTGTAATATTGTGTATGTATATACAAGGTCCGCTAACGAAAACTTTCCACCTTGAGTATTTA